ACACACACACACACACACACACACACATTAGAACCACAGAAAAATGTGAAAATGTTAGTAGGTGTTGGAAGGTATTTTAATGGGAACTAGGGACATGAAAGTAATTAAAAAGCTGCTCTATTAACATAAAATATTTTTTGCAATATCCATAGAGGAACAATATGGTTTCCTTGGGAAACATGTAATTAGTTTGACTACACAGTCATAAAATATGTTGAAGGATATAATTATTTTCCTGGGCAGCAGGCAGCTAAAAATGTCATTAAGTGAGAGCAAGGTCAGAATGCATTGCAGGCAGTTGTGGGAGGGGTGAAAAGAGGCTGAAAGCAGGTACATAAAACATTTACTCCTAATGACTTACCTTCAGCAGAGCAGACCAACAACACCATGGACATCGGCTCGGCAATTTTAATAATTGGCTTCGCTGCTCTTGTTGCAGCCTTCCTTCTTCTGGTAATTGGACTTGTGTATGCTGAGCTGATGAATTCAGACATTCCTTGTGGGGTTGCAAATAGAGGGAAACTGCACATGGTTCATGGATTGTTTGTTGGTATTGCAGTCGTGGTGAGTGTCAGTATCTGCAAAAGTGTTAGTGCTTAGTTTTGTATGTTGCCTGTGTGGAATCATATCTGTTTTTGTTAACTTTTTAAAATATTCAACTTATCCTTTAGAGTAAACGCCTCTTGTGGAGAATAAAAATGTACTCTTTTAGGTCATATGTGGATATCCTTCCTTCGTCCTCCAACACCTGATAAAGCTTACATCAGAGAAATTTTAGATAAGAAATCATAACCAACAAAGGTGCAAAGACAAAGTCATGTGTTCCGCTTCTTTGATGTTGTCACGAATGGGGTTTTTTTTTTTCAACCAAATAACCTTCACTTTGACTTTATCTATCAGGGCTGTATATATTTTTGTCTCCTATTTGTTGTAAGTCTTTTGTTTCTCTCCTGCCAGGCTCGGATCCTACATCGACTGGGCATTTGTCATCAGGTTAGCTTTACCCGATGGTTCGTGGCCTGTTTTCTCTCTCACCTGAAACAAGTTTCCGCTGGTCTGCGAGTGAAGGACTTGACATTCTCAGAGGTGCCAGTGCGAGTATATGAACCGACCTCTGTGTGTGATGGCTTGAGGAGAGGTCTAATGTATTTCCATGGAGGCGGATGGATATTGGGAAGTATAGGTATATGATGTTACAGTCACTTGCTTAACTAAAACAAAAATGCTCAAATACAAGTAAAACCTGACTTCCTCACAGTTCCGGTCAGTAATGGAAATCATTTCAGTGGAAATGAATTTTAAGCAGCTTGAACTATAAGTAAAAACTATTTTCATTTGAGAGGTATAGAGCATAAGAAAGTTTCAAAATTCCGAAATACTACAAAATTGCACCCAAGTGTAATATTTTTCAGCACAGGTACAGAAAGGACAAAGACATGTCACCTTCTGTTTGTGGTTATTTATGGCTTCTTTTTTGCGACAAAGATCTTTTAATAACTCTATCCTACTAATCCTGAACAGATTCTGTTGATGAAGTGTGTCGGCATATTGCCATTGAATCTGACACCACTGTGATATCTGTTGGGTATTTACACTTTTTTCCCCACTCCACATACAAATAGAAAATCTATTTTAACCACCATGTAGCTACAACTTAACATACTGCTCCTTTTCCTTTCACCCCTCTTAGATACCGATTAGCCCCTGAGCACAGGTATCCTGCCCAGCTAGATGATTGCGAGAAAGCAACGTGCCACTTCCTGTCTGTGGCTGAGACAGAGTTCGGGGTGGACTCTCACAGAGTGGCAGTTGGAGGGGACAGCACTGGGGCTAACCTGGCAGCAGCACTGTGCCAAAGGCTGGCGTGCAGTGAGGACCGACATCTGCCATTCCCTTGCGCTCAGGTCCTCATTTACCCAGCCCTGCAGATGGCAGATTTCAACTTGCCTTCCTACCAGCAAAATCATGCTGTGCCCATATTGTTTCGTGGCCGGATGGCATTCTACTTCCTGCAATATCTCAATGGAGATGTTTCTCTGTGCCAAGAAGTGCTGGAAGGTAACCATGTCCCCGCTGAGCTCAGGCCACGCTACGAGCTATGGTTATCCCCTTCCAACTTACCTCCTGAGTGCCTCACACGTGGTTTCTATAAGCACCCAAGCCCAGAATATGATGGGGAGGTGTATCACGCAATTAAAGATGGTTTGGAACATGAGGTTTCCCCTTTACTGGCAGACGATGCTCTCATTCAGAAAACCCCGCGAACCTTCATCCTTACCTGTGAATATGATGTCCTGAGGGATGATGGGATTCTTTACAGGAAGCGACTTCTGGACCTGGGAAAGGATGTCACCTGGCAGCATGTGCTAGATGGCTTTCATGGCATGATTAACTTTTTTAACCAGGGCTGGCTCACATTTCCCTCTGCAGTGCAAGTTGTGGATGGTGCTGTTCACTATATAAAAACACTGTGAGGGTAATAAATAAGATCCTGCAATAAACTTTATTCTACTTCCCATCTTGTCTTACATTTCAATAAACAAATGTGCCTCCAGTGTTTGTCATTACCATTATACTGTTCACAGAAGCCCCCCCCCCCCCAAATTCATTCCATTCCAAAAATGAAAAGTAGCCTAAGGAAACCAAGTCTGCATACAATATTCTGGCACCTTTTTAACAATACAGAGCAGGCAACTAAAAGGTAAATGCCATTCCTTAACTTTAGGAAATGTATTTCCTTTTAACAAAGATGTAAGACATCTTCTATTTGCTTCCAGGACACTCTGCTTGCTTTACCCACAGTGTTTGCTGTACCCATGGCAACAGAGCTCTTTTTCCCCTCCACTGCTGAAGCGATTATGTAGTCAGGTGAATACACCTACATGCTATCCATTTGACTAGTTAAACTAGCTCCGGCAGGGCTTTAGATTTCCCAGGTGAGTTTGATACTGGGCAAAGTATGAAGCAGAAAGCCAATGCACAGGATAAATGGGCCCAAACCGGATGGAGAATAGAGCAGAAGTATGCAAACAAAGTGTTGTTAGGCAACTGGGCTGAAGAAAGACTTCAGGTAGGCATATTGTCTGTTTACGACATGCTTTACTCTACAGTGTGATAATGCAGCATTTCGATTCAGGCTTTCCAACTCTATATCACAGTATGAAAAACACGTTTTTCCAATCTAAACATACAATTTCTCCTCAGCCTGAGAACACAGACTTTCTATGTCTTTTCATGCTGTGTCTAAAACATAATACTACATTAATGGCAGCCCGCCAACATTTTTTAGAACCTGAGTTGCTAGTCAGATCTATAACAAAGTGATTAGGCGGCCTCCGTTCAGCTACATCAGCACAGCCTCCTGGTGGGCGAGAGCTGGAGACTAATTGCATTGATGTGAGTTTGGGCCATAGGCTGCTGGTTCAGGATTTGTGAGGAGAAATGACTTAAGGAATACTGTACAGCAGGTCAATTGTGAAATGTGAGCTCTGCTGATCCTTATGCTGGGATCATTGCTCAAGTCCCTGTATATCCCCCCCTTTGCTCAGTCCACTTTGTGATGTCTGTTTATTCTGTCCGACACAGTTCACTCGCAAACCAAAGATAGCCTACAGCACCAGTTCTGTAGACTACAGACCCCACTGGGATTTCAAGCCAGACATCTCTGAGAGAAGATCTGCCCTGCTGAGAGCTGAGGTCAGCCTTTAACTGCTCATTCATGGTATTATCACCAATTGAATGCCTGTCAAAAGCCTGCAAGTCAGGGTTTTTTTCACCCGCTAGAGTGTGAACACTTCTGCATAATACTGATGGCCAAGATAAAGGCCTGTGATAAAACTCTTTATGAAAGCAAGTTTCTGTTCAGACTCAGCAGCAATGAAAAATGTGTAAAATCATCAATCCTACTGGGGACATACTATAGGGTTAGTTGGAGCAATTTGCCGCTGTCACATGGTGAGCCTCTTGAAGATTATTGAAAAAGAACAGGTCATGCCCTCTATATCTTAATCCAGAGAAGGCCACTGTGTGAAGGCTACATCAAGATCTCTCTATATTGTATCCAGGGGCTTCCATCTAAGACGATTTTTGGGCACCATGACCCGCCATCCTCACATTATCTGGTCACACAGTATGCGGAAAGCTACGGGCGTAACCTCATCAATGCTTTGCCCACTCTGCAACACAGACATGCAGACAACTTGACACAAAAGCCCAAGAGGTCTGACCAGCTGACTTCTGGTAAGTTCCATGCCAACACTGCCAGAAGGCAGAGATTATACATGGGAAATGACTTTGTACATTAAGCCATTACAAGGGGTATGAGTGCAGTGCAAACATAAGTGCATTAAATCTTGTATGAACAAAACACATCAGCAGTTGAGCTCATGAACAATTAACCCGGGGTGGGTCCAGATGCCTTTTATAGTTCCAAATCAGCCACCGATGTAATTAATGGCTGCAGTAACATGGCAGTTAATGTGCTCTTCTTTTACAGCACTTCCAAACAACGTTGGCCCGCTGCAGACCACAAATCACCATTTTGAAATACAGCAGTCACACCTTCCATCTCTGACTGAGTACAGGTCAGCATACCAGAGGCAACCACTTAGTGCCTTCTGCCAGAGCCGCTTTGCCAAGGCTTCACACATGCTCTCCAGCCACCTCTATGAAGCCAATCGTAACAACAAGGATCTGGATCTGAGACAGCACTTGATCCTACAAGTCCCGGATCATTATTTCAGCCTACGTCCACCATCACAACAGGCTTAATTTCAGTATTGTAGCTATGAAACTGCCTCCAATACTGGTTAATTTAGAAGCTGTGTTTGTGAATTCCCTTTTTCCGCAGTTGGCAACAAGTAAAAGCCTAACTCAACAGACCATTTGGGGAAATCGAATGGATTTTAAAAAATTAAAGACAATTCTCATTATCTTGTGAGGACTACTGTAGATTTACGCTGGTGAGTTACTTTAGCATTTAAATGTGTGGGAGGGAGAAAGGGATGAGACTATAAATTATCTCCACCCTTTCAGAGCATAATTACATGCAAATTCTTTCTCTGCGGAGTGTGTATGTGAAACTGGAAATGGGCTGTTAGTATTACTCTAGATACTCTGCGGGAGAAATAAATAAATAAAAATACTGTTGATGCCAGAACTGACCTGGGTATTTAGGTAAAACAGAAGCAATGAGTCATCCAAGGCAATGTCTGAAGGGATGTGTCTAACTCCCATTCCATTAGGTGTTTAATTACAGAGAATCAAAGTGTTTAATTAGGAAGAATCAAAGATGCTTATGTTTGATGGTCAACCATCTGCGTCTGCCTCCCTTTTTCCCCACTTGCCTGCTGCCTTCCAGTGTAGCTCTGTTTCACCCACTGTTAGCTAGTTAGTCTCTCTACTGTGCTGCTGATGCCTGTGTGTCACATGACACCCTTGGGTTATGAGAAATCTTCAACACAACACGTCTTACCAAAGAACTGCTGTATTTGCCTCTGAGCCACATGATGGTGCTATAGCAACACGTCACTCTCGCTGTCTTTTAAGTCCTCGCCTTTACAGTGTGTACAGTGACGAACTTAATTGTACATGAAGAAACAATGAGGGATTTAATATTTGCATCATTCTTATGCATATTCAGTTGGTAATGTAATCAACACAGTAAAACAAACCACACATATTTAGATTGCGCTGGTATCATTCTATTACTTTTTATAAGTCACACAAACAGCAGAATAGACATCTTAATAGAATTAGTCACTAAGTGTGGATTAATATTCACTGAATGACAAATTTCTAAATTCCTCTGATGTTTATAAAACAATAGATAACAAAGTGAAGATATCATTTGGTACAATGAGCTGAGGATGTTCTTACTCACATTGAAAACAAATACACATCTTTCTTGCCACCATAGAAGGTGACTGAAATGACAGAAATAACTACAAGTCTGAGTGTTTCAGTGCAGTGACAAATGCTTTCGAAGCTTACCTATTTATATTGTATGGCATACCCATTTACATCATGTCATATCTAAAGAGCAACTGTAAGTAATGACGTTGTATTCAGGCCACTGTGTAAAATATATTTGTGCCCTACACAAGGGGACACAGTAATAGATTAAAATTATATTGTTAAATTCTTGTTCAGTTTGCGCTGAATGATTTCGTTTACTCTGATGCTTTTTTTATGAATTATCTTT